TTTATGCGGCCTCACAATGGAGGCCAGGTATCTCCGATTCAATGGGCTTCAGACGGGGCTCCGAGCCCCACATCAACGGAAGCCTTGCAGGTGGCTGATTACGGACCGATTTTATTGATTCGCCCGGGGCCAATCTATTGTTTGGGTTCAATAATGGGCGAGATAACTGAGAGTGCGAGACAGGAGCACTAGATCCGTGTGCACTTGGCGAAAATTAAGACGGGACTGGAAAGAAATCTAAGAAATGCTAGGAATTAAAATGGAATGAATGCAATCAAAAAGATTTTTTATAAATTTCATAAGGTTTTTATGGAACTAACAACCCTAATTGTATATCTTTAATAGTTTATTTAAACATTTTCCCTAGTACACATTTCTCTCTGTGTAATCCTAGCACAGCTCATGATAAATTTACAATGCTCCGCGTTGCGAAGGCCACGGCAAACAATAACAATTGCATTTGCTGGCACTCCGTCGACGCAGGAGCAAGGCACATGTTTATGTCCTTCTCCGCCGTACATCTCCTGCCCCCCAGGACCCCAGGATCCCCGGAACCCGCCCTGGCAGCCCCGGGGCTGCTTGGCTAAGGCGAATGTCCTGTTTCTCGTTTTCGCACGTACAATGTGCTGCACTTGCACTCTGCCCCCAGATAATTGCATTGCCCCGTCCATAAGTGTCTGCTGCTGCCATCTTGGTCCTTCGTCCTTCGTCCTCGCTGTTTGCGGAGTTTTGTGTATTTATGAAAACCATTTCCGGGCGGCAATAAAACTCAACACGGTCAACGTCAGCGGCATCTAATCTTGGCCTGGCGGCGCTTCGAGTGCCATTAATTTTGCTTCTTTTCTCTCTGTTTTTCTGTGACATTTTCCGATTATGTGCGGATTTGCGGCACGACGAACGCCCCGATCCACTTTGGATCCTTGGGGATCCCAGTTTGCAATTTACACTTTGGTGGCCCTGGCGGCTGTCCTTGAAAGATTGGCGAGTCCTGGTCTTAACTAGGAAAAACAAATAGGCCACCACCCGATGACAGGCGATAAGAGCAACCTGCTCTTGTTTTTGTTTTATTTTCCGTATTTGTGTTCGCCTTGCAAGTGCCACGCCCCCGTCCGCCCCCCAGTTTTCTTCCCTCCGCCCGGAAAAGTTCCACCCACTTCTGGATTTGCCTTTTTGTTAATGTTTGCTCAATTTAAAAAGTTTTCTATCGCCATTTGCATTTGCACGCACATTCGCACGTGCTTATGCAACAGCAAAACAATTGGAGAAAGCCAGGAGGGGCGGCAGGTGGGCGGGGCAGGAGGGGTGGATGCTATTTTGGGGGAGGAGAAAGTGCTCAGCCAGGCGGCAAAGAAACCATTTGCATACCCACAGGGGCTTAGAGTTAAGGGGATTCCAACGAAGGGTCTCTTGGGGAGGAAAAAAGGCATGTAAAATCCGAAAAACGACTTTATTTTTTAAGGAACCAAATTGAAGATGTACATCATTTAACATACACCATATGAATTGCATAATATAAAAATATATATATTAAACTCATGTTTATGTAAAATCTTATGTAAATCTTAAATATATTTCGGGACTCCAAATATTTATTTATTTGTCTCTTTTCTAAATATTGTTACTGTAAAATCAATATAGATCTCAGGGGTGATTTTCCAATGTCTGAATGACAGCTGACATGCTAGAACCACTTTATGTGTCACACGCCACTTATCAAAACATTGCGATTCCATAAAAATACTAAACCTGCCGCAGATTGGTTACATAAACAAACAGATAACACCGTCGCATTTGCATATTCTAAAAAACAGGCAAAACGACCCCTCCGTTTAAACGCTACGCCCCTGATTACGCACCATGAAGGCAAAAGAAGAAAAGTTGGGCAAAAAATCGCAATGAAAGAAAAAAGCAGAAAAGTTAGTTTAGTTTTTGTTTTTAATTTGGTAATGCAGCACGGAGCATGGCCTCCAATTGTTAGTCCTGGACAAGGACTTTTTGCTGTTTTCCGACAATTACATTTGATGAAGTTTTACAAATGAGCGAGGCGTGGTCGAGCTGCGGGGGCGGACATTTAGTTAACTTTCGGCCAGCTAAAAATTGAAATTGAATTCCAATTGTCAAATGGAATTGTATATGACCAACGTAAAAAAGGAGCGCCAAAAAACGTGGCAAACTAAAATGGCAATTTATTCGCCGACCAAAAGTGTAAGGTAAGAGATAGTTGGATTGTCTCCCAGAGATTAAGGCACAAATGCGCATTTTAAATTCCAGCAGGATTGGATAATATTTAACATACATAATTAATTCGAGTGCACTGAGGCAGTGGGGCTTTTTTGATTCTGTAATAATCAATTCTTTCCATTTTGCATAACTGCATTTCAGTCAACAGTGTATTACAATTTGTGTGTGCGCCAATATGTTTGCAGAAAGTATTAATTTCCGTCGCTCCATTTCCTGACGGAATTTTAAGACTAACTCTTTAACCAACTAGCCAATGTTTGCCTGATAAATGAATTCCATTATTGGCTCTGTATTATTTCCATTTCAGAGAACATTTTTTATTTAAATGCATTGTTGTGTCTGTTTAACACTGCTCTATTAAGCTAACTAGATTTCAATTTTGATTCGACTAACATTCTCCCAGTTCCCAGTCCACTTAATTTACTGCCATATAATTGCTCATACGCACTGTTGGATCTGTTTGGATTTGAAACCCGAAATCAATTTGCAGCTAAACTGCCGCAGATTATCTTGAATGGGATTCGAAATCAAATTGGCAATTGCCAAGTCCTTCGTTTACAGGTTAACAATTACTGGCCATTCCGGCAGATTAGCCTGATACCAGCAGCCCGAGATCTCCGAATCGTTATATGCTGCCTTTGGCAGAGCCCGAAATGCAGAATGTCGGGGAACCCATATCTTTCTGGGGCATCATCTCCTATATACTCGGGCATATGTCGGATTCCATGGCTGTGTGGCATCAGTTAATTGATTTGCTTTACGACTTGCGGCTGCAGTCGGTCCCCTCGCAACATATTCCTCCATAATATTTTTTTAATATTGTTGCGCGCTTTGGCTGGCCTCCTCTTGGCAATTGGCCATCAAATTAGCTTTGCTTTTTTGGTCCACTGTGCCACATTTATGAATATCAACGAACCTGTGAGTGCCGATGCGGTTCCAGCCCGGAGTGCCCTCTAAGTGCCTTTATCCCCATTTCTTTTCACTGGGAAAAATTCATTTGGGAACTACTTTCGGATTTAATGAGGGCTTTTAAATCAACCAGGTAGGTTTGCTTGGAAGTAGAGTCGAGTTCGACATTTCGTATTCAATTTGGTACAATAGTTGCAATTTTTACCTTTCCTTTGCATATAAATCACCTAACTTCAACCTCATATCTTACCTTAAAGTCTTAAAAACGCAGGAGTATATAACTCTACGTTGATTACTCAACTGCATTGAGAGTGGTTTGATCGGTAATAATTTTCTGGCGATCGAACTCCATTATTTATCCCCCCAATTCCCAGTTGGGAACTCAAAATGATACACCATTTTTCTATCTGTGTGCTCATAAAGCAGCAAAAATAAAACTGTCGACGATTGGGAGGAAAGTGGAAAATACTGGGGGCGAGGAAAAGCGGTCTGAGGCTGAGGAAAAGCCAGCAATTGCAACTGCCAACTGCTGCTGCACTGACACAGGAAATATTATCCGCATTGCCAGCAACGAGCGATGAGCAGAAATTGAGGCTGCCAAGGTTTTGGCCTGGCTTTGTGGGTCGTCCTTTCCGAACTGGGGGGGGGGGGACCTGGTGGGTGGTTGGGTGCCATAAGGACAAAGCGCAAAAGCGGCCAAGTGAATTCTCAAATACAAATTCAAATGGCAAATTGACAAATGAACCTTTTGAGCTTTTTACGTTTTCATTGTCTGTCTGTATCTCTTAGTTTGCCAGCGGAGCGGATTCATCCTTATGCGGTGGTTGGTGGCGGGTGGTGTTGTGGATCCAGGGAGGTCAGGAGCGGAGGGAAGGATCCAGGAAACCTTGGGGCAAGCGAGTGTGGCCCAACTTCGGTTGGCAACAGTAAGAGCGGTGTAGATTGTGTGAAATTAGGCATTTTCCGTTGAGCTAAATTACTTTTATGCTAGAAAGAAGTATTACACAGAGAATAAAGTTGGCTAAAGTGTCACAAGTGTTTTAGGGGGTTCACAACTTCAAAGTGCGTACGATGTTGTTGTGGGGTACTTATTCACCCATTTCTATGAGTAGTTTTATGGTTTACTGTGCGTGTGGGGAGAATGGGCAAGTTTCGATATTCTGTTACCCTTTTCATACCAACATATATATAAATATAGAATGCACAGCTCATCCCTGTTGAATTACCATCTTACATCCAAATTACAATGCCACTATTTTTCCGCCAGTGAATAATGAACTTGCCCTCCCACCTTAAAACCGCTCCTGGTTGGCTTTTTCCAGCTCAGTCCCGCTTCATTTCATTCAAAAGAAGTACAAACAAAAAACCCGAGGGGGGAGCACAAAAGTAAAAAGCATTCGACAGGCTATTGATGCTGATTTTGTAAAGATGCCGATGCCAATGCCGATGCCGATGCCAATGAAAATGAGAATGAGGATGAAGCTGGGTATGGGTGTGGGTATGGGTTTGGGAATGGGGAATGGGGAATGTCCTGAGTTTAAGCCTGTGCCCCTGCGGGTTTTGGTTGTTGCTTTGTTATGCCGTCCATCTGGACGTACAACAAATTACAAAATGTTGTTGAAAGGCGATTTTAAGACCCCGGCCACTTGGCACCGCCCTTGGAGCCCAGTCCACCAGTCCAGCAGTCCACCACCCACTCTATTCAGAGGAGAGGCCAAAGCCGAACTCGGTAAACAGAGATTACAAATGGGCCAAGTGTGGGTGCTGCAGGAACAACTAGAACTACACAACTACAATGGGCATTGTTGGGCCGCTCACGCTAATACCGGATTCTCTTTTACATTTTACAGATTTAAGAATTCTTGAAAGGATACCAGTAGCATCGGCCCCCAGAAGGACCAACTTTCCACTCGAAGCAAATTAAAAGAAAAGAACTCAGCCAAGCTGGAGGAGGAGGACAAAAAGCGGCAAAATCAATAGTGCCGAAGAAGTGTGGCCAAAGTGCTGAGTAATGTGGAGTAATGGAGACCTTTTTGCTGGCGGCGGCAACATGATGTGAAACATGGCAATCGAATCAGCCAAAGCCATTTAGGGTCATCAATTGCCAGGGTCGTGGAAAATCGGCAGCAGGAGCTCCGCACGAAGCCATATGCACCGCAGCATGGAGAGCAGGAGGAGCAGGACCCCGAGGGCTCTGCCAGGTGAGTTGTCATTCCCAGGCAGCTGGTGCCCCGCTCCGAGATAGATGGTCAATCCAAAAAAAGAACCGATGCCACAGAAGTTACATATATGTTTTCTTTAAGCCTAATTTAAATTCCATTTTCCAACCATTTTAGGGGTTTTTTGCTATTTCAGTCTCTTTAAGACCTTTAAATTCTAATTCTTAACTAAGCTTCTCTTAAAGTAAACTTACTTTGTGGTAGTATATAGCTAAAGTTGGTTTTTGGTGTCCAAAATTTTCGCTTTTAGATATCCAAAATGATTTAAACCGGTTCCCTCCTTCTGTTCAGTTAGGATTCTATTAAAAGTAGATTTCCTTTTCCCACCAATTTCAGTCTGCTGGATTCTGGTGTGCCTGGTGGCCTGGACTTTGGCGGATGACTGGTCCCTGAGCTGCGCCTCCAACTGCACCTGCAAGTGGACCAACGGCAAGAAGTCGGCCATCTGCAGCTCCCTGCAGCTGACCACCATTCCGAACACCCTGAGCACGGAGCTCCAGGTGCTGGTGCTGAACGACAACCACATTCCGTATCTCAACCGGGAGGAGTTCTCCACTTTGGGGCTGCTCAATCTGCAGCGCATTTACCTCAAGAAGTCCGAGGTGCAGTACATACACAAGGAGTCCTTTCGCAATCTGAAGATCCTGGTGGAGATCGATCTGTCGGACAACAAGCTGGAGATGCTCGACAAGGACACCTTCATGGGAAACGATCGCCTGAGGATACTCTACTGAATGGGAATCCCCTCAAGCGGCTGGCTGCCTATCAGTTTCCCATTCTGCCCCACCTGCGCACCTTGGACATGCACGACTGCCTGATCTCGTACATAGATCCCATGTCCCTGGCCAACCTCAATCTGCTGGAGTTCCTCAACCTGAAGAACAACCTGCTGGAGAGCCTCAGCGAGTATGTGTTCCAGCACATGGCCAACTTGAAGACGCTCTCCCTGGAGGAGAATCCCTGGCAGTGCAACTGCAAGCTGCGAAAGTTCCGCGGCTGGTATGTCAACAGCCGCCTGAGTTCCGTGAGTCTGGTGTGCAAGGGTCCGCCTGCCCAGAAGGATCGCTCTTGGGACAGCGTGGACGACGACCTCTTTGGCTGCCCTCCGCGGGTGGAGATCTTCAACAACGAAGAGGTGCAGAACATCGATATCGGAAGCAATACCACCTTCAGCTGCCTGGTGTATGGGGATCCCTTGCCGGAGGTGGCCTGGGAGCTGAATGGAAAGATCCTGGACAATGACAACGTGCTCTTCGACTCGGAGAGCATCTCCTCGGACAAGCTGTGGAGCAACCTGACCGTCTTTAACGTGACCAGCCTGGATGCAGGAACCTACGCCTGCACGGGCTCGAATTCCATCGGCAGTATGACCCAGAACATCAGCATCTACCTCAGCGAGATCGTTCAGCATGTGCTGGAGAAAACACCCGAGACCTTCTGGTATTTCGGCCTCATCATGGGCATCTTTGGCACCGTCTTCCTGCTGATCTCCATCTCGTTTGTGGTCTGTCTGTGCAAACGCACCACCCGCCAGCATCGTCATGCCAACAAGGCGGGCGTGAAGTCCAGTGTTAGCTTCAATGATCAGGAGAAGAAACTGCTGGACTCGAGTGTCACCACCACCACCAATGACCGAGGTGACAGCTATGGCATCGACAACCAGCCCACTTCCATTGGCATGAACAAGGCGGACTCGGCCGGAATGGGTTTCAACCAGATAGAGATCCATGCGGTGGACAGTCACCGCCACGGGAGTATGTTGGTGCAGCAACAGCCTCAGCAGCAACAGATACAAGGAGGTCCGGGAATGCGACAGCAGCTGATGCAGGTGAAGGATCCGACCTGCGGCATGATGAGTGTGCCCACCTCGATGGCTGGCCACACCCACTCGCATCCCTCCCAGATCTCCGAGGAGTTCCCGCTGAACGTGGGCGTCTTTCCACCGCCGCCAGAGTTCTGCTCGAACATAGTCCCGAATCCCGCTTTCGGGGGCAATATCTTCATCCGGGTATCTGTCACACAAGACATGCTGGATGGTGCGGACTTGAACATGTATCCGGATCTGCTGAACATTCCCAAGAGGATGCAGGACGTGCAAGAGAGTGGTGCTGGCACAGTGGCCGTGCCAGAGGGTCAGTTTGCCACTCTGCCGAGACATACAGCCAGGAGGGGTATTCTCAAGAAGGACACCTCCTTGCAGCAACAACAGCAGCAGCAGCAGCAACATCAACAGCAGCAGCAGCAGCTCCAGCAGCAACAGCAACTTCAGCAGCAGCACCAGCAACTCCAACAGCAACACCAGCCATCCGGACTATACACCCATGATGAGATTGTGACCTACAACCTGGAGGCCAGTGGCTATGACCCCCACCAGTCGGCGTACCACAGCAATCCCATGGAGCTGCCGCCACCGCCGCCTCCGCCCGCCGTAACAGCAGTGGTGCAGTGCCACCACCCGAGTCCCAGCAACTGTGCCAGCTGCATCAACAATGCACAGCAGCCGCCCTCCGCCTGCCAAACGCCGCCCGTCGAGGTCACGCCCATGAGGCCGCTGGACAGTTCCGCCTACCCCAAGTACGACAACATGGGACGACGGATCACGGCGAGCGGAGGACTCGGTGGCTCCAACCTCTCCCTGCCCGACGAAGAGCGGTACGAGAACGAGACACTATTCGGCCAGGCGGATGGTCAACCCACGGGAATTCCCGAGCAGTCGCAGGATCTTCACCAGCCGCAGGAGGCGACTCAGGGCCAGGACAAGGGCGGCGGTCCTGGCGAGTTCGTGTCGCTCTAGTATTACGGTACCCAGGTGTAAATAGGTCAATAGATTCGTGTCGTCCCCCACAACCCCTGGGAAATCTTTGGCAATCGTTTTGTTCATATCAGTTTGAGAAGCGAGTGCTCTAAATGAATATATGTATATGTAGAAACCCACACAATCTATTGACTGTATCACAGAATCCTGAAGAACTTGAAAACAACGAGCAATTCACACAGAATCAAAGGAAATCGGACTGGACTGTTTGGATTTTCATTTAAAAGGGCTTTATCGGACGGATCTTAAAAATATTGATTACATATATATAATATTTGTTGTTCAATACCATGTATTTTTATTACTTACTTTGTTTTCGTTTATATTATAATCTTATTCATTTTTTAAACATAAAATTCGCCGTAATCGTTTTTAATATTTGATTTTCTTGATGTTAAAATCGTCTGGAATTTTGAATGTCTGTGAAGTGAAAAATCCAAACATGTCTGTCGTCAAACCCCAATCCAAATCACAGAGAATTTGAGAATGTTGAGTTAACAGCGAGGAAATCAAAGATAACATTTATTTTCCATTCGGATTGCACTCTCAGACTAGATACCGTTAAAGAATATACTTCTAATTAATACTCCATTAGAGATCTCCATACTGTCCCAATCCTAGCTAGCATTCGATAGTAGTCCACTTGAAGTCTGTACCTTTATAGAGGTCGATTCTAGAGTGTATTCTAGAAGGTATAGCGACCAAAACTGATCTTCTTAAGGTGTATAGTACGATTAATCGCAAATGTATTGGATCCAGTCTTAGACATAACGCTTCTGGGGTGCTAGAGTTTTCGTGGGAGTATCCATTAACGTTTTAGAGATCAGACACTGAATAGGGTTAGAAATGGTATAGGATGAGGGATGAGAAGCCAAAATTATATCTCTAGATATGCATCTATATAAAATGTTAGCCGGATCTATTATGCCCCATATATACGCCATATAACCATCTTCGATGTGCAATGGATATATAAATACTTTATCTAGTTTCTAGCCCCTCAGCCCCGTAAAATAGTTCCTTTCTTGTACATATGTAAATGTATTCCTAATTGCTTAAGGACTTTTAAATCAAAATAATTTTATGCTCACTATCCGAGAAAGTATCGCATATATCACAGAGTCGTGCCAAATGTTTTTAAAGTCAAAGTCTGTTTTTAAACCTGTTAACCTCATGCGATTGTTTAGACCTGTTAGAGCCCGTTTCGATTATGTAACCGTAGGATTTGCTGAACACTTAGTACCTATGATTTAGTCAATCTTAAATATAGTCCACTCCTGTCCTACTATCCTAGTTCCTCCTCGTTTTGCTCACTCGAAATCCTGCAAGTAGACCAAAAACTAAATCTAAATAAAGTACGACATTAACATTTACGTAACATATATAGCTATATATACATCTGCATATGTTTGTACTTGTGTGTAATCTGAATGTAGAAAGAAATGCAAAAACAAATAGGACCCAAGCGAGGCTATATCGATGTGTATATCTTATATATAGTATATATATGTAAACATTTATCGAGATCCATGTATTTAGAGGGGATAGAGGAGATATAGAGAGCACACGAGAACAGAGGCCGCATTAAATGGATTTTTTGTGTCTGTAGAAAGTTTCAAATTCGAGCTTGGTAATGTAAAAGTAAGCTATAGAAGTCAATATAAGTACACGATAAATTCCACTTACATGACCACGCCCACTCCACTCACCGCCCCCTCTGATGAATGTATGTGTGTGCGAGCGTGTGTGTGCGGAATAATTAAGCACATGAATGCAATGAATTACTATAATAATTATGGGAAAGTATGCAGGCAAATATTTGCACAACTTCCATGAGATTTTTATCCCTTCACCCCGTAGTTACCCCTTTTATTTGTTTTATCGCTGTTGCTGTTTAATGTGTGCCGAGTGCCGAGCGAAGGGATTTTTGTATTTTGTTATTATGAACTGAACCAGAGCAAATTTGCACGGCGCACACAAAACACGGCAAACAGAGCATCCTAGTTTGAACTGAATAACTGAATCCCCCCGTTTTTTCCCTGCGTACCTCATTTTTGACAGCGCAGAATGAATGATTCAATCAAAGCATTATTTGTCCGCTCTAATGGACGGGATCTGAATTTGAAACAGAATCTGAATCGGAGGGGAGGACCCTGTACATAGGCCATTTTAATTACATCATACTCGCGCAGACAGAGCCAATATTTTATTCATTTTAAATCGTTTTAACTAATTAAAACCAAATGGAAACCGCCAACAGAGCGAGAGCAAAAGACAAGTGTAAACACGCAAATAGAGTAATGGGTAATGAGAATAATGAGAGCCCCGACTAGAGGAAATTTAAACTATGCTTTTAACAACGTTTCCCATTTCCCCAATCCCATTTTCCCACGACCGCCACGCCACGCAACGCAACGCGTTTTTCCGGGCGGAGATGAAAACGTAACTATGATTTTAATTACTCTGCTTGAATGCAAATGGAAGGCACACACAGATCCAGATACCTAGATGCGAAATGTATCTGAATCCGGGTATCTGCATCTGCATGTGGCAGCCATTGAAGGGCCGAAAAAGCGAAAAAGCAGTAAAATTAACTTTTTATGAGCGCTGCAGAGTGCTGCCAAAATATAAATTAAATTCGAATGATGAATAGTAGTAACAAATTTTGTACAATACCATAAAAACGCATTGCATATTGCATTTTAACTTGAATTCCATTCAAAAGCTGAAATTAGCCAAATCCTACGAGCCTCACAGAATCAGAATTACAGAATCACAGAATCCATCACAAACGAGCACACTTGTATACTCGTCGTATACGCATTTATAAATACAAAACATCCCGACAGGACTCGAGTACGGTACAGTTGTCGACAGTCGACAGTCGACGGGACACACGGATGCGGACACGCACGGACATGCACGGACATGACAGACCGGAAAAAGCCAACATTTAACAAACAATATAACCGAGAATACATTGTAATAGCATTAATAGATTGTCAAGCTTTATTACACACTATATTAACATAGATGGAATAATAATAATTATTATTATTACAGTAATAATACGAGTAACAGACAAAGAACACAAAGAGAAATATGAATAAATTTAATAAAACCAAAAACAAAGCCTTTTCATATACCTACATAGATGTGCACGTATGTAAGCTGCATTTCCCAGCTGCAATCCCCATTTGCCAATGCCATTTACCATTTAGCATACCGTCATTACAGCCGCACAAGAACAAAAACAAGGCCAAACAAACACTCACAAACGGCGCAAAAAAGGAAAATCGATTTGATGACATTTCCATAATGGAAAACTTCGCTGCAGTCAAATCAATGTCTCTTCCTGCGCACTTGATGGAAAGTTCTCGCCAAACATTGCAGCCAACTTCCTCAATATCCTAGGTCCTTCCCCTGTATCCCCACCTCCCCACCCCCTTTATTTTCCCCTTCCAGCCAATCTGCATAATTTGCCATGGGCCCCCGCTCCTATCACTTGTTGATCGTAAACGGTTTTTGGCATATCAAATTTCCGACTTTTGCCATAGCCATTTTGAAATGTTTGCTGGCGATAACCAAACGAACATTCGGAGCATTTCCGCGCCTAATCTCCGCTTCCCAGTGCCACAGCCACCTTACAAATGCTTCAATAATGACTGCGAAGGAAGTGCACTGAGGGAAAATAGGGCTGGTTATGCCCTAAACCATTCAACTGGAAAATTAAATGTGAGCTGACGCATGGAAATTAACATTTAAAATGCGTAAAAAGGAATTGACACATGTACTTTTTAAAGAACCTGACATTGAATTGTTATGGAAATTAAAAACTTTAACAATATTGCTACACTGCTGTCGCTCTCAACGATAAGTATAAGAAAAGTTCTGGACACCTAACATGATAAAATATTGAAAGTACCAACACACAACTTACAAAGAATTTTTCTCAGTGCCTGGCTATAATAACATTTTCGTCTTAATGCACTCGCAGCCCATTTAGTCAAAATTTACCCTTGCATCTGCGTCAGCAGCCACGTCAGCGTCATCTCCACCCGAACAGAGCTCCATCGGTGGCAGCACATCCGTTTTTGGCCAGAAACCACCAAGTCCCAGAATCAGGCCGAGACCAAGGAGCGGGCCTCGAATCGAGAGCCCGTTGGCACCGACTTCGGCTTTGGTTTGGTTTGGTTTGGCTGTAGTCTGCAGTCCGCAGTCCTTAGTCCGTATTCCGCATGCGAATACGGATACGTGGGCCATGTGCGGACCCTCGGGGGAATCCGATTGCCACGCATCGAGCACGTACGCCGATGACGACAACCGCAAACTGCTGCGATTTCTAGCAGCGACCTCGCTTTCACCCGCCCCCAACCACCCACCTCCCGAGCCCCTCTCAGTCGCACTTTGTGGCTTTCCTGGCAGGCAGCCCACCCACTCGTTAGATGCACAGGGAGAAAATATTTCCGGAAGGTCACCTGTTAAGGCAACAATTAACTTTGTTGATAAAGAAAATACCATGCGACTTAAGAATTTGTAGTAAACGTTTGGAGGGGCCTAAAAGTAGGCAACAACATATTTGTAACCTAAAAGTCTTGAGAACTTATTACGAAGTGCCACTTACTTTTATTCACCGCATACTTTTAGGCACTTTAATAAGTGATTTCTGTGAAATCCTCGATAGTTATAACACCTTTAACCTTTTTTAGTTACCTCAATTATCTTGAATTACATCTTAATATAAGTAAGCCCAAATGCTTTCGCAGTGCAACTCTCCTTGCCTTACGTTACGTATGCAACATTCATTTTTGACAAGCATAATTTGCGGCTGGCCCAGCAGCGCAGCCATTGGGATTTTGGCCCGACCCTCAGTCTTATGTGTTCCAGGTTATTTACAGTTTTCATGGCCCTGCACTTTTCTAATGCAAAAATGATGCACTGCACCCACGCGGCCCACGTCGCCCACATTTCCCGCCCTTTTGTGTGGTGGGCTGGGTGTGTGGGCCTGGCTGTCTGTGGTCAGAGTCGAGTCGGGCTGCGAGGATGCGGCGCAGTCAAAACATGCACTTAATGTAGCATCAGCAGGAGCCAGCAGCCAGGAGCTAGTAGCCAGCAGCCGGGAGGCAGGAGGCCTTTTCTGCTTTTGACCGGGCTCCGCAGACGCCACACCGCAGTGGCAATGAAAGTTGGAAACCAATATTTGTGCGGGCCGTGGGCGAAGGCCCAAAGGGAAGGCCAGGAGCGGTCCTTGTTTGTCCTGTCTCTAAATGGATAATTGAGTTTGGCTCGTATGAATCTGTGAACGTTTAGGAATTAGATTGCTCGGGGAGAGAGCTGGATAGCAACCACAGTTGGTGCGTCAAGCTGGGCGTTTTTGCAGACAAAGGGTTTACCAAAGAAAGCGATTGATATAGGAGTTATCTTTGGGTTTTTAAGTCAATTTTAAAGGTGTCTTTAATTGTGTAATGGGAAAGGCACGAATTTTCGTATACAAAATATATCGCTGCATACTTTTAGGCACGTATATAAGTAAAACTTCTTGTAACAGAAATTATAATAACAGTTATTTTATGAAATCCTTGCAATATAAACATATTTGTATAACTTTTGGATCAAAATATATATGACTATAGTTGCTAGGCTCAATTGAAAACACATTAGTTCCTAACATTGCCACCCCTCAATAAAGACTCCGCTCCTGCGAACTTAGGAACAAAAATAAATCTGTTTGCCAAACAGTTATTGCTCTTGTTTCTGCGCCGCTGCCACAAGCACCTCCTCCTGGTCCTCCTCTAAAACTAATGCCAACTCCGGCCCTCCTCCTCCCTCCGCACCTTTCCTTTACTTTCCGTTCCGGCTCCTTGCAATCCGATTCCCCACGCAGCTCGTCCCGGCAATATGTGCGCTCATTTTATGCCTTGCATTTGGCAACGGCTCAATAATTGGTCAGTAGATTGGGAAGGGGCGATCAAGTGGGCGTGGAAGTGGGAGGGGCTTTCAAGTGGGCGTCGAGGTGGGGTTGAGGGCCATGGGCCATGGGCTCGTGACTCAGGTGCCCGCAAAGCTTTCTATAAATTCAAAGTCCATGGCAGTGATTATGCAAGTTGGCTAAGCCGGTGGCCATGAGGATGCACTCGTCCTGGTTTCTGGAATCCCAGAACTGCCGCCTGCGGCGCTGGAGCTGCAAAACGAAACGAAATTGAATATGGGTTATGAATGGCACGCATCTGCAGTTTCACGGACCCCATGATGCCTCCGTTCCATTTATATTTCCATCTTCTCTTCCGCCAGAAAAACAAACAATGTCCGGACTGGAGTCCTGGATCCAGACCCCCATGGCTAGCCGGAGTGCACCGGAATTTATGCCTGCCGCCGGCGATGGCAAACGTATTTCTATTCTTAAGTAAAAGAAGGGGTACCGGGCTAAAATACTTGAAAATAACAGAAAAAGTTATTACCATTCATATTTAAAGAGCAATTAAATATAAAGTTAAGATTAATAGACCTCTCTTAAATAACTCACAATAAACTTACCGAAACTAACTCTTTCGCAGGTGAAACCAAGCAGATACTTGCATCTCCACCTGCCTGCCAAATCGGATGCGAATGAGCCGGAAAAATCGCAGCCACACGCCCATTGTTCTGGTCTTCTCAGGCAAATCAATACCGCCGCTTAATGGTACATTGCACCTCGGAGAGGCGGCGGAGAGGTGGGGGGCCCGGCCTTTGATCCCTACGCCCTATCCATATCCATATCCCACACCCTCACCTATCCCTTGCACAGGTGCCCCTACCTGGCCATTGATTAAAGTGGTTCCTTTGCAAATTTATGTTCGGAATATTAACCGAATTGCTCCCCGAGGAAAACTCCCCAGCCACTCTCACTCGAAAAAGAAAAACTTTTTCCACAATGTACTCGTGTACTGCACACACACGCACACACACACATGGGCAATCGTATGAAAAAGGGGCCAAGGCAACTTTTTTAACAGTTTTTTGGATTTTGGAATACAAATTATGTAAGTAATCTCAATTTATTGATATATGGAGATGCATGTTTACACGTGGCCAGCAGCTCGACATTGTCGCTATTTCGGATTCCAATGGAGGAGGGGCCATCTTATGGGTGGGATGGCTGAGTGGGCGGTAGGCAGTTCGAGGTCGGGGACATATCTGCCCGAGTGTGACCCTTATGAATGGGGCAACTTTTGTCTTTCTTTGTCGCATTTTATACCCTCGCAGCATTATAATTTGCCATGAATATATGAAAACCGTTTGTAGAAGTTCAGCCATTGCGGGGTCCTTGGGCCACGGCCCACCACCCAGCGACAGCCCACTTGGCTGGGGATTGTCAGCCTGGGAAATGGTTTATGTAATGGGATTCATAACTTGTTTACCTGCCCAGCAGGGTTATATCTAGTCGGGAAGTGCTGCCAGAACGCCGGAGAATGTCCAGGTTCAGGACTCCAGGTCTCGCTGGCGCAGCCTTTTAATTTTAATTAAACTCCTCGAATTGCCATAAAAGATTTTTCGTGAAGCTGCCCAATGATTTATGGCCCTTTCAAGGTTATTCGCTCCATTATAAATTCATGTAAATGCTTCTGCATTTTTGGTCATTATTCAGCTCATTATTTTCCAAAGCCAAATACCAAATTAGAGCAGATCATCGCATAAAACCGAACTTAATTACCTGAAATTATGATGTATGCCCTCGTGTAACCATGCGCCTGATTTATTTTTATGGCCTAGTGCTTTCCAATCTAATCCCTGACTAGTAGTAAATTGTTCAGCTCTTCGTGGTTGCATTAAAATGTAATCCTTTATTTAAAGTTGATTAATTTGTTTTATTAATTCAGGATTAATAAACTGCGTTTAACGGTCATTTAAGTGTGAAACTAAAATTAATCATTTAAGACCGTTATATATTTTAGAAGTTGCCCTTTAAGATTATTTAAAAAAAAATTGAAAAAATTAAAAACTAAACATTGCATTTAACTTTAATTAAACATTTAAGTAATGTTTTTTATCTGATTTTGAGCTTTACATGATTTTAACAATTTTCCCTTGAAAAACCAAAACAGTGCTAATATTTTTTTTTTTAAAATTCGCACATGTTACGAAGTTATCTAAAGAATTTCATTTTCAAATAGCAAGTTTCATCAAAACCAATATTGCCAACTGTTTCGCTTAGCAAAGTTATTTACCTTAGGAAGAGAATTATTTACATGTTATTCATTTATAAATCGGGAAAACAACTACTATTTTAATATTAACAATATAGTAAGTAGTAAAGTAAATACCGCATTAAGTTTACTTTTATTTTATTGAAATCGGTTTAAACTGACCAAGATTTTTGAAATTCCCGCCTATTTTTGAACTGAGGACCGCCCCATTAAAAAATATGGCAGCATCGACCATTGCAAAGTATCGAGTAAACATCGGAGTATGTTCCAGCTCTAAGATATCGATATCGAATAAACATCGAGACTTGGGGAAAAAATAAACTACAACAAAACCATTAATTAAACTAGGAAAGCGCAGCGTTACATCAATTGAGGCAGCTGAAGTTGGATCATCGTCGTAACCGGAAGTCTTGAGATCAGGCCTCTGGAGACGGCAGACTAGGAAACGTTCAGAAATCGCACATCATAGACCACAACTAAGAGAAATTGGTAAGGTAGCACAGGCACAAGGAAATTCTCTCCGCTTTTCCCCCGCTCCCCTCTATACACTGCCCTCCCGCCCACAAGCCAAGCATGCAAAACAACACAGAATTAATCGTGTGCGCATTTTTTGCAGAAGCCCCGGCAGCGGAATCTCGCCCAGAAACAGATCATCCCGAAATAAAGCGAAATAGTTACGGTTCCGGCCTGCAAATGCCAGCAGAAGAGCGGCCACAGTGAGGCCTCCCTCGCGCGAACCTCGCCAGGTGGGTAACATTGATCGGTTGAATGGCAGTCAAAATGCACATGCAAAAGGAGAGGAAGTGCGGAAAACACGCTGCAAACAACACTCGCTGAAGTTGCTCAGGTGACGCAAAAGAGAGACAAACAAAAACACGCACGATACCGTGACACTTCGCATTTGTGCTTAGACTTGCCATTTGGCGGATTCGTCACATTTCGCACACAGCGGCGAGTCTGGTTGTTATGGAATACAAGCATATCATATTTGCGGCTTCCGAATCCCTGTGGCTAACTAACTGCCTTTATGCTTAAGCATTTCCGCATAACATCATGTTGCTGTATTTTTAGCATCCCCACTTAACCTTTTTAGTTTCTAAATCGGGAAACCTAGGACTAGGAGTCCAGGAATCTTTCAATTTTCATATCATGAAATGACAAATATCTTATCGGTTCCTGAGAATCTGGTTGTTCGACAACCATATCATAAGTTTGTTTTAATGCTTAATACATTTTTAGTTTCAAGACATCTTCAATTTGTTATTTTGGTAGCTATTTTAAGATACTGTAAATGGTACACAAGGATACAGCACATTTTGTTTTCGAGAAATGTATTTTTAGCTATAATACTATTAGCATTAAAATAGCTATTGTAGATTCCCCGAGTTAAGACCACAAAGTAATAAAATGAAGTTAATCCATGTTCATATAGTGAAAATCTTTGCGCTTTATTATACTTTAAAAAGAATGTAAACTATTGTTTTTCAACGCTTTAACAATATCTAACAAATAATTTCCTTTTAGTCTTTCGCACAGAGCATGGAAAGCACGGACAGCAGCGACAGCAGTGGGGACAGTTTAAAATCCATTCCCCGACCGGACTTCGAGGCCCTCTCCGCCATCGACAGCCCCCAACCGCAGTTGCAGTTGCAGAGCTCCTCGCTGGATGGCCACATCGAAATGGAATCGGTTACCGTGCCCAGCAAACGTCAGAAGTATGTGGTCAGCGCTCCGCCGGGATCGGCCAACGGCAGCAGCCACTCCTCCAGCTCGAGTCCCTCGAACACCAACGTGGGCTCCTCCTCACCATGAAGTTGACGAAGGTGCAGTCCTCCACGCCCAACAACAAGGCCAAGGTGGCCAAGGAAATGCTTGCTCTGCAGCGCTCGCACATCGAATCCGAGGTCCTCAGCAACTTTGTGACCGAGGTCTCGAAGTTTAAGCGCCGCAAGTCGCGCAACACTCCCGGTAATCTCGCCACTCAGGCATCAGGTGGAGAGCTGTCCCGCAGCTTGAATGCCACCACCGATCACAATCAAAAATCTCTCAAGATGGCCCTTAAGCGGAGCAAGAGCATTCCCGCTCCCATCCTGGACTCGGACGACGACTGGCAGGACGAGGAAATCGACATTGGCACTAAGAGCTGCAGACCGCGAGGACGCTCGATGGCCTGTGACGATAGCGAGCGACTTGCCGAGCTGAATGTGGAGGACAGCATCAGCGATCCTCCGGAGCCAGGGCTAACCCGCTGCCGGTCCCGCAGCAAAACCCTATCCCTGAGCAACAGTTGGAGCAACGAGGAGAAGGCACCGAGGCGGGGAAACCTGCGCAGCGAGAACGAGGAGTTCGCCAAGAAGCACAACGCTTTCTTGGATCGCATTATCCATGATGACCAGGAATCGGAGCTGGCGCAGCACACCTCTGTCGAGGGCGACCCGGATATTGAGTGGCCCGTCGGTGAGCTGGAGGCGCAGAGCTCGCTCTTCTCGGATGCCAGCGACTCAAAAATGGCCTCGGCGAAAACTCAGGAGGAGGAGGCGGCCGAACGGCTAGTTCTCATGTATGAGGAGCCACCCACGGTGAGTGGTAACAACAGTTATTAGGAATAGGTCCGAATTAGTCATGCTTCTTTATCTCGAACTTTGAATTATCTGAAATTCCGTGCAGCGTGGTTTGCATAAATCAAGCATTCTATTGTAATTGAATTATTTTTCAATAATAGTTTTCTTGCTTACAAATAGCAGTTATAATATGTATACCACAATACCACTTACTTAGGTAGTTTTCGATTATTCATTATATTATTGACAAACCCGCTCTCGTTTATATATATGTCTGGTACGCTTGTGCACTAGTTTATATATTTAGCAGTCTTTGTTAGTTTTCTCCTAGTTAAACCAAAAAAATTCCACGTTTAAGATATTCCTGACATCCGCGAGCAGTGGGAACAGAATGTTCAGTGGGTATGGACGTGATAATAATGTCTCGCAATCCTGTCTTTCAGCCTGGATGGGACCCCTTTTGCTGGAAGTGTCGGCAGTGCGGCAAGTTGATGGCCTGCTCCAAGTGTCTGCGCTCCTTCCACACCTACTGCGTGCGACCCGCCACCACCAAGTTCGACTCCTCCTGGAAGTGCCCCGAGTGTCAGGTGATCGAGGCAGCGCCCAAGAGGTGACCTTCTGGCATTCCCCTATAAGTGAAACCGCTTTGTTCATTGGTTCTTTGTCTTGCAGGCTGCGGCGCAATGGAGTTTCCGTGGATCTTCTGAGCCAGCTGCTTTCCTTCGCCCTGGACCGCATGAAGCATGTGCGCGGGGTGAGTGAATAAGCTGATTTTGCAATTCGTATGCCAACAGCTCTGTATGTACAGTATCTCGTTCCTTGTCGAGATCCCATTATCTTCCCACACACGTTCTCTGTATGTTTCAAAAGTCACGCGAAAAATCTGTGCCCCAGCAGACACACATATGTAAGAATACTTCCGCTCGGAATAATACCTCAGAAAGTGTGTCAATACTTATTGATTAATCATTGACGTAACCACTATGTTTAACCCCTAAAGTCATGCAGAAAAGCTTCCCAAATTAACTTGGTGCATCCATCGATATTGCATTTAAGGGGTGGCATTGTGCTGGTCGTGCTATTATTGTGTCCGCAGCTGCAATTGATATGGGTTATGGGTCTGTGTTTTTGCGCTCTTTGCCGCCTCCACTCGCTTCCACTGTAGACCCAGTTTTTTCTCTCGCTCAGTGAACGTTCATACATTCCGAGCAGATAGACACCTGAAATGTCTCGCTGGTTTGCTGGGTTCTTGGGTTCTTGGGTACCAAGTTCAGTCTGTGCTCCCTTGACCCTTGGGACTACAGCCCACATCTCTGTTAGCTCCACTCCGACGGCAGATGTGGGCCTTAGTCGGAGCTGTTTTACGACTCACGTGGTTTATTTCTCTGCGTTTACTTATCTGCCAGTCGATTCCGATGGCCAAAGGCCTGCTCGTGTGGCTAATGGATGGCTGTGCTTGTGTTCGTGAGGGCCTCGTGTACATGATAATGAGGTTTAATGGTCTGAGCTACGCAAATAGTCTCTTCAATTGTACCTTTTTGCCAGGGCTCAGTAAGAAACTCTTTGAAATCTGACAACTAAAAAACCAATAAAATCAATAGAAAAATGAATTAAAAAGATTATGAGCTATACTTTTATCCATTACCTTGAAATAACTCGATAATAGCGCAATATGCCAATTGTATTGCAAGAATGTCGTAAGATAAACATACATATTTATGGCTGAGTCATGTCTGTCCTCTTACTACATATTTTATTATGTCTGAAACACATCTGTGGCATTTATTCAACCCATTAAATAAGAAACAAGCGAAGCTTTTAGACAAACACATACCATTAAATTAGATTAAAGTAAAACAACTTCTTGCGAGTGAGAAAATAAATAAATTAATTAGTTTATTGTTATCGCCGCTTGGGTAGCGTCCATTAAAAGCAATTATATACAAGAACATACGGAATGGATAAACACATACCAGTATAAAGTTCCTTACACTTACAGCCGGGGTGAAAATAATAGCATCGTTAAAAAATCTTCAATTATTAAAAAACGTTACATTTGAATATCCTGATTAAAAATATCCATAAAAATTAAATTTGAGAAAATTATGAAACATTTTCTATTATATTACTACTTTGGCTTGCTATTATACTGAGCCCAACTGTAATCCATTCAATACCAAGTTTATTTGGGCTTCTGTTTGTACAAAGATGTCTATCTGTGGTCTCTATTGGAGACCATGGTTCGCGTTTACTTACACTCCAGAAGCGGGAAGCCGAGCCAGGAAGAACAGAGCAGTATTTTATATTGGCTCGGCTCACAATTCCCTCCCCTACCGAACCTATTCTACTTATTCTCCCATCCCCCGGTCCTGAGACCTGGATGGCATGTATAAGTACACATACTCGTACATACGCTTATTGGTGTATCTGGGGAAAAGCGAGAACTTGTTTTCAAACGATAGAAGCTCGTCGAACGAACGCTCTCTTCGCCGCGCAACGAACTCGCAACACTTATGCCCTCGTTCTCTTTGAACCCATTTCAATCCCTAGGCCCACAAATTGCGTTCGCCGCAAGAGGTCTTCCCGCTGACGTACAAGAAGTACTTTGTGAACCCGGTGAGCTTCGAGAGCCTGGCGCAGTGCATCCGTGATGGGGCTTATCAAAGCACAGAGGAGTTCCTCGGCGAGGTGAAGTGGATGCAGCACAACGCACTCATCCTGGACGCCGGGGGTAAGTTTATTTTGATTTGGTTCCACTAAAAATTGGTTTGTGCAACGAAACTTTTGGTAAAATTGTTTTCCAACCAATTATCACATTAATTAGAAGCAGTAGGTTCAAAACTTTTGTTAAAAATTATTTAATTTATATTTTTCAGATGCGAAAGTGGAACAGGCCTCGAAGGCTCTGGTAAAAGTGTGCCGGCAGGAGGCCAACGAAATCGACACATGCCCTGAATGCTACCTGAACGCCAACTCCAGCGACGAGTGGTTCGTGAAGGTGTGCCGGCATCCGCATCTACTGCTCTGGGCCAAGCTGAAGGGTTTTCCCTACTGGCCCGCCAAGGCAATGGGCTCAACCAACGCAGCGCTGGTGAATGTGCGCTTCTTTGGCAAACATGACCGAGCTTTCGTGCCCGTAAAGGACTGCTTTCTCTACTCGGCTCAAAATCCAAACACGCAAACCAGTCGGAGATCAGCAAGAGATCTAGCGGAATGCGTCCGGGAGGTGGAAGTTCACATCGAGCAGATCAAGCGAAAGATTGGCGCGTTCAATTACGCCGCTTTCCGCACCGCTTACGATCCACTGGAGGAACAACAACAGCTGGAGCAGATGATGCCTGGCGTGTACGCGGCCATCGATAGGGAACTTGAGCCGGCCAACAAGACACCGCTTCAGTTCCTCATCCGAAAGACGGCCGATGATAAGCTGTCCATAGTGAAGAAGACGAAGGCCACGGAATCGGGCAACGAATCAGATCAATCGCCCAGCCCCACAAAAAAGCTTCCGGAGGTGGATATCGTCGCGGTGGCGGGGTCCGGATCCAGCGATCACTCCAAGCTCAAGAGCAACAACTATGAAGTTATATCCAGATCTGGAGAATCCCTGACCGACTCACGGTGCAAGGTGTTGCTCAAAAGAAAATCCCTGGCTGCCAAGATAGTTTCAGCATCCGTAGAAGCCCCAGAGGTGGTGGCCCCAAAACGAAAACATTCCCAGAGTGATGCCAGCTTCACCAGCGAGTCCAGCGACCACAAACGCAAGTCAAAGCATTCAAGAAAACAACCGGAGCAGGATAAACAATGTGATGGTCAAGGAAAAGCAGCTATAGAACCTACAAAATCTCCAAAACCTATTCCGCATGAGGAAAAATCACAAGATACAGAGATGGTCAAAGAAACTCCTGCCAGGGAGACTTCCACTTCATCTCCTGGAGCTTCAGCCTCCGTAATTTCTGTGGTGGAGTTGGTCAAACGTCGCCAGGGCGTGACTATCACAAAGATACCACGCGAACAGCAACAAGCGGCAGCTGCTGAAGACCTGCCTCCTGCTCCTGCTCCCCCTCCGACAGCTCCTCTTCCGACATCGGCTACCAAACAAAATGCACCAAAACGCAGTGAAGCAGCAAACCCAAAACAATCCGAGGTGGAGAGACAGCAGCAACAACTTATCAAGAAAGTTATTCCATTTATAGAAATTAAAACTGAAGTAATGTCAGAACCAGAAGATGAGGAAATGGCGGTGAGACCAACGTCAAATGAACCGCTAGTTGAACAACTTCCTTTGCAACAGGAGCAACAGGAATCAATTGCGGCTCTGCCGGAATCTCAGCTGCCAGCTCATGTGGCGGCTCCGCTACCCAATCCGGTGGAGCATCCACCTCCAGAGGAAGTCAGAATCAAGGAGGAGATTCTGAGCGAGGATGAAATGGAAACTGATCAGATCAGTGTTAGCCAGAGGTTTGAATCAATGCCACCCATGCCACTGCCTATGCCTCCGCCTCCTCTGCCGCCACGAGAGGAAACACCCGCAACAGATGACCTGGTTCGATTTGTGGGCGATACCACTATACAAAGGGTGAACCAGAAGCAGTCGTTAAGGTCCGCGGATTTAGCGGGAAAACGTAAGGGAGTTCAACAAGTTCCCCCACAAACTGTACCACAGACATCCTCTCCAGTTCACTCGCCTGTCCAGTCAGCGGCACCCTCACCTTCGGCATCACCCAAGCAAAGTAGCACTTTTGTGGTCGCCAAACCAGTACCACCACAACCCAAGGGAAAGTCCCCGTCACAACAACAATTCCGGACAAAGAACGATCGTACGTTAGCTTCCCCACCGGGCACTACAGCACCGGCCACAACCACTTCGTCTTTGTTGAGATCAAACATGGTGGTAATTCCCGTGGAGCAGCCTAGCAGCAGCAATCTACACAGTCCCATGACTATCCCGGTTCCACCACTGAGGGCCGTTTCCAAGAGCACGTTACAAAATACATCCACGCTACCAACACCGCCTTCCGTTCCATTGAGCTGCCAACACAGCAGCTCCATATCTATGCCTCCACCTCTAGCCGGTTTGAGTGTTCCCCAAATGTCCATCCACACATCACAAGAAGGCACCGCCACAATCAATGGAGAGCCCGTAGGTCTTTTGGCTAGCGCGTTGAATGGTTTGACAGGCGATAACGTACCCAATGAGTCCATCTCCAATGATCCCATAACGCCGGGCTTGGCCACGGCTTGGAGTGAGATGCTTCTGCGGTCAGGCGTACCAAAACTGGTGGCTCGACCCTGCGGTCCTCTCCGATCGGATGGATCGCAAATCTATCCTTCACAAGCAGGACCCGTCTCGCAAAAACTCAAGGAAAACGCACACAAGGTATGTTTGCTTTTATTGATTTAGGCAAGGGAAACTACAAAAGTTTTTTTTTCACAGATCACCGACTACTTCATCTCCGTCATCGAGGACACGCTCAGCGACATGGCTACTGGGGACCAGAGTGTCCTCCAAGCACGAATCGCCGGCCTGTCGCTGGAGAACGAGCGCCTGAAGCAGCACTACGAACGCCAGATAAACGACGTGCATCGCACAAGCGAGCTGATGATCGCCGAGATGCGCAAGACATTGGAGCAGGATCACAAGCGCGTGATCAGCGATCTGCGTCAGCAAAACGCCATCGAGCAGATGCGGGCGGTGGAAGAGGCGAAGAAGAAGCAGTGGTGCGCGAATTGCATGCGTGAGGCCCAGTTGTACTGCTGCTGGAACACCTCCTACTGCGACTATCCCTGTCAACAGCTGCACTGGCCCAGACACTCTGCCACCTGTGGCCAGGCTGTGCCACCCACACCCCAGTTCCACCTACAGCTTCGGTACCGGTTATAGAACCCGGGCGATCTAAATCTAAAGTGGCGATGCCTACGGCGACACCACCAATCACCAGTCCCAGTCCCAGCTCACAGATAATTCGGACGGCCGCCGCCTGTCCACCTGCAACATCTGTGGCTAGCGCACAAAGCTCAAAGAAGTGGCCGCCTATGATGACGTTGCTCAACCAACCAAATCAAGAGGCAGTGCTTAAGCTGCCAGCAACCACATATTTAAGGCCAGTGGTCAGCACCACGATGACGGCTACGGTAACGGCCCCGGCATCTGCTAATAACAACCAGCATGAACGCAGTAATGACACCCACACCATCAACTGGAAACCACCTTTCCAATCTCATTTCCGCGCAGCGAAATCCCCCCAACTTAACCCCAAGCCCGCCAATCAAACGATGCCTATACAGCGCTTTAATATACCTGTAAGTTATTTATAAAAAAGGGAAACTCCTAATCGAGGTTTTCAGCCCTGACAAACATCCTTTATTTGACATTCACTAATTTGTTTAACCTATTTTTCAGTTACCCATCACCGTGAATACTAACGCGCCCTTTATGATCGCAGAGCAGCATCAGAAGCAGGTACCAAAGGCTACAGGTCGCAGTTCTGGTAAAAACAATAGCCGGATGCGCCAAATGTACGGAAACAATATCAACAACAGTAATCCGCAGGGTATGCGTGGCAACAACAACCCGCAAGCTATGCGCCAAAATCAAATGAATCAACAAGTGTTCCAGCCATAAACCGTGAACGACTAGCATCAAAAGCGTGCGGGTGTTCCACCTGGAAAGACTGCCTGTTAGCAGGAAATAATTTCTTTGATATTCCGGAGAAACTCAGAAACATTGAATAGTTCGTTCACTCTACTACCACATATATTTGATCCAAACTACAAACTGAAAACCTTCATATTTATTTCAATTCCCTTGAGCGCAGCTTTTGAATTTTTTTTAATTTGCTCTTAGATTAAGTTGAAAGACAAAGTGTAAAGTACCGTTCAATAATTAGGTATAAGATTTCATAAATGTTATTGTAGTTTCGCTGGTTTTACTGTAACTTAACCGCCTAGTGGATAAGAATCATTGTAAAGCCATAAGATGGACTTTGCATAAACATAAGGTCATCCCACTTTTCTTTTGAATCATACTGTAAATTGTTTTTTGTCATCTATTTTACATACATATTATGTATATTTAAGCAAAGCTGTAAAGTGAATTAGGAATAAAAAATTCATTAAATCTTTGCCTATAACATAAAAACTCGGTGCATAAAAATGAATTGGGGGAAAACAGGACACAGAATTAAATTAAAATCGCTTTCGGAAAGCCATATAAGAGGATAAAATAAAACACTAAAAAGTATGCAACACTTGCAAAATCCAAAGAATAAAGTTGCGCGCAAAAGAATGCTACAAAAACATCAAGCTCGACGGATTATCAAAATTAACTTTTAACTTTAATTCGTCATCAAACCCCGTAAAAAACATTTTTTTTAAAGTTGCAAAATAGTACCACGTTCTCAATCAATGTCCAACTTCTTGAAGTTTCCCTCGATACCAAATAGGTCGGAAGCATTTTTTGGTTTGCCGGGACGACATTTCTCGTTCACCTGATGGCGGGTCTCAAACTCAAGCATTTCCTTTCGATTGTCCAGCAACTTTTTATAGTAAATTTCTGCGAAAACGGTTATGTTTTGTTAATTAATCGAGGGTTTATGACTCGCGTCTTTACCTTTGGCAATGTTTGTCTCTTCGACTTGACCGCCGTATTCATTGGGAAGCATTTCCTTGGGCACAAATTTGTGAACTCCTTCATGTCGCTGTGCACATGCAGTACAGTGGTCAGTTCCTTTTTCATAAACGGAGTCATGAGCGCCAGAATCTTGTCCATGAAAGGTACAATGTTAATGAAGTGAAAACCGATCAGCCTGATGGCAGCAGCTTCCTGAAATATTCAGATTTGGGTTATCTTTCCTAAACGTTTTAAGTTTTGTTTAATCACCTGCAGGTAATATAAAAACTTCTTCATTTGCAAGAGGCCAATACGGGCTACATGTCCCAAGGAAGTGTTTTTCAAGTCGATAACTATCACGTGTCCCGGCTGAATTCCATCTTCATACATCCAAAAGTCGAATATCATACAATATCTAAAAGTAGAAAAAGAAGAGTTGTTCAAATATATAGTTCGAATTTCTATGCTAATAAAAGATCTTGGATCCAAAAGAAAGATCCCAACTTTTTCTGATGCATCGCCATCTACATCCCCTGTACTACACCCCTGTCTGTCAAGCTTGCTTAATTGTTATTTCTTAATTGTCTGCCATTATGAAGCAAATTATAATGATCTTTATAATCCGACAGTAGTCGCTGGATTTGAGTACCTGTAGTTTGAGACGAAGTTTCTCATTATTTCAGTGTGTATCTCTGTATCCGGGGAACGACGAAATGTGCCGTGCGTGCTTTTGGTTGCACTAAGTTTGAGGTTTCAGCTCGGACCTTTAATCTCCTCATTCTCCGTATGCCTTGTCATAATCACGCCACAAATGACGTGCAAAATGGAGCTCAGCCAACAATAATTGACAGCCATTAATATTGAAGTAGAATTAAACAAGTGTTTGCAAATTGTATATAACTTTCTAAATAGATATATTTAAAAACTAAACACGAATTTTAAAAAGACCCACATATTTGTAACCTTAGGATTAAAATTTATGTTTGTAAATATACTTTTCCAGTTACGGTTACTTACAGTTTCATAACATCGGCAAAGTTATAGTTGGAGGTATTCAAGTCATCAAGTTTAGCGAGAATTACCCTATATCCTTCGGGTGTGGATCCTGGCAGAGGAACAATAGAACTGCACATATGTAAGAACATGATGTTAAGACCAGGTTAGACGGACAAAATAAAGAATTGTATTTAATATGAATTTAAGTCAGTATTCAACCCACACAGTTCGCATGGCTCGCCTGATTTCAGGTCGTTCGCAGTCGAGGTTCTCGAAGAACTCCACCAGGTGGGTGCGGGCCGTGAGATTGGTGTCCAGGACCTGCTTGGCCACCTCCATACTGTAGCGGCAGGCGTGGAAGAAATGCAGGGCCTCGCCCTCCGAAAATCTATCCGAGATGTGCGGCTGGGCGTGGATCCAGTCCAAAAACTTCAGCACTTCCGATCGCTGGATTTCCGGAAACCTGGCGTACTGATTCTCCAAATCGGCCTCCTTCATTTCGTTGTGCTGCTCCGGGATCGGGATTTACTTTTGATTGTTGCGCTACTTGGCCCGAAACGCGTTTGAGCGCGGTCAACTCTCGAATGAAATGGAAATGGAGGCTGGTTGCTTTCGCAAGTGAAACTGGTTGGCCGTCTGACTTGGCTTGGCGAATTCGGCATGCAATTCCATGAGTTCGGGATGGGATCGGGAATGGATTTTTTGGGGCGGGGAGTTGAGGGGCTAGGACTAGCATGTGTTCAGGAAAAACTAGCAACGGTTTTCGTTAGTCACACGAAAAGAAAATACGATAGTTTAGAGGTTAAGAGTAAGCCTATTGCAAAAGTATTTTAAATATTATTGTGACTTGTGTTTTGATTTTAGAATGATTCCTAGTTTCTACCATTACTATAAAAAGATATATATTTCCATTTGCTTAAAAAACTTTACAAAACATTGTTTTCTGTGTATTTGTCATCGGTTCATTTCACTTCACTTCCATCAGGCTGCGTGAAAATGCATTTTTTTTGCTCGCCTGTTGCTGCCGTACGGTTATTATTATATTTTTCTTTTTCCTCGGGATTGCATAACATGTGATCAAGTGATTGGGCGGCCGATCCATGACGAGGGGCCTATTATTTTTTCGCATGGCGTGTGCTCGGAAGATCGAGAGATTTCAGCTCCTTCATCAAATCCAAAATGTGACGCTTGACTGGCGAAAGGAAATTGCTGGTGTATATATGTATGGAGCTAAATGAAGACTTAAGATTGGAGGAAGACGTGATAAAGAAAGTGGCATATATGGCGTATACATAATATTTATGAATTGAATCATTTGTCGAATAGGTAATTGTAAGATTTTGAAATTGCGTACATTTTTATCTAAATAAATAAATGTCTCAAAACAAAATAAAGCCCTACGCTAGAAGTATTAAATTTAAAAAAATGTTATTTAATTGCAAATATCAAAAGGTTTACAGAATCCTTCTGCCGAATAAGATGTCACAACCCATACGAGTTCCTAGAGTTGCAATGCAAGTACGTGTAGCAACTTCGTCTTCGACTTTACACGCGGAGTCTAGATGCCACATCGTCCTCATTTCCGCGGCAGACACTTGACATTTTGCCAACAGCAGACACCAGCCAGCCACTCAGCCGGTCAGAAATGCAAACCTGGCTAGGCAGCCTGCGGCTCGAGCTTTAACCGAGCACTGGAAAAAATAATGGACGAAAAACGGAAATTCTTTGTGAATGTCATTACAATGTACAATGTAGGTATAATAATAAAAAATGGCAAAAATACGAATGGCAGTTTTACTCGAAACTTGGCAAAATTGAGGGTCTCAGCTAAGAGAATGACTGTTTTGATCTGCTAACAACCCAAGCTAACGATCCACATCATTTTCGGATAGGGATAAGAGACTTTAAATTTTGACGATTTTTTTCATTTTTTAAAAGGGGTTACATAATTTATTTTGGTCAAAAATGGCCAAAAATTAAAGTTTTCAGGTTTTAATGCCAATCGATTGGAAATTTTATTACGAGCTCAACGAGGTATGACACTCCACAATTGGACCATTTGTTGCTTTGTTTTGGTCAAAATACTGATCTTAAATGGCGCAAAATGAGGATGGCTACATCACCTTTTTTTGTCAAAAATGGCAAAAAAAAAAAAAAATTTAAAGGTTTTAATGCTAATCGATTGGAAATTTTATTACGAGCTCAACGAGGTAGGACAATCCACAATTGGACCATTTGTTGCTTTGTTTTGGTCAAAATACTGATCTTAAATGGCTCAAAATGAGGATTCAAAATGTATGTGAAAAATACGATTTTTTCGGTTAATTTCCTGTCGTAGCTTGGGTAAATTAAGAGTCTCAGCTAAGAGAACGACTGTTTTGATCAGCTAATAACCCAAGCTAACGATCCACATCATTTTCGGATAGGGATAAGGGCCTTTAAATTTTGACAATTTTTTCCATTTTTTAACTTATTTTGGTAAAAAATGGCCAAAAATTAAAGTTTTCAGGTTTTAATGCCAATCGATTGGAAATTTTATTACGAGCTCAACGAGGTAGGACAATCCACAATTGGACCATTTGTTGCTTTGTTTTGGTCAAAATACTGATCATAAATGGCTCAAAATAAGGATTCAAAATGTATGGGAAAAATACGATTTTTTCGGTTAATATTTCTGTCGTAGCTTGGGTAAATTAAGGGTCTTAGCTAAGAGAACGACTGTTTTGATCAGCTAACAACCCAAGCTAAAAGTCCACATCATTTTCGGATAGGGATAAGGGCCTTTAAATTTTGACAATTTTTTCCATTTTTTAAAAGGGGTTACATCACTTATTTTGGTCAAAAATGGCCAAAAATTAAAGTTTTCAGGTTTTAATGCCAATCGATTGGAAATTTTATTACGAGCTCAACGAGGTATGACACTCCACAATTGGACCATTTGTTGCTTTGTTTTGGTCAAAATACTGATCTTAAATGGCTCAAAATAAGGATTCAAAATGTATGGGAAAAATACGATTTTTTCGGTTAATTTCCTGTCGTAGCTTGGGTAAATTAAGAGTCTCAGCTAAGAGAACGACTGTTTTGATCTGCTAACAACCCAAGCTAACGATCCACATCATTTTCGTATAGGGATAAGAGACTTTAAATTTTGACGATTTTTTCC